GAGTTTTAAGAGTCCCCCTTAAAATTTCTTGCAGAGCTGGTTTGGAGGTCACATATTCTTTCAGTTCCTGCCTGTCTTGGAAGCTCTTTATCTCTCCTTCCATTTTGAATGAGAGCCTTGCTGGATAAAGTATTCTTGGTTGCATGTTCTTCTCATTTAGGACCCTGAATATATCCTGCCAGCCCTTTCTGGCCTGCCAGGTCTCTGTGGAGAGGTCTGCTGTTACCCTAATATTCCTCCCCATGAAAGTCAGGGACTTCTTGTCTCTTGCTGCTTTAAGGATCTTCTCTTTATCTTTGGAATTTGCAAGCTTCACTATTAGATGTCGAGGTGTTGAACGGTTTTTATTGATTTTAGGGGGGGGGGATCTCTCTATTTCCTGGATCTGAATGCCTGTTTCCCTTCCCAGATTGGGAAAGTTTTCAGCTAGGATTTGTTCTAATACATATTCTGGCCCTCTGTCCCTTTCGGCGCCCTCGGGAACCCCAATTAAACGTAGGTTTTTCTTCCTTAGGCTGTCATTTATTTCCCTTAATCTGTCTTCGTGGTCCTTTAATTGTCTGTCTCTTTTTTCCTCAGTTTCCCTCTTTGCCATTAACTTGTCTTCTATGTCACTCACTCGTTCTTCCACCTCGTTGTTAGGACTTCTAGTTTGGATTGCATCTCATTCAATTGATTTTTAAGTTCTGCCTGATTGGATCTAAATTCTGCAGTCATGAAGTCTCGTGAGTCCTTAATGCTTTTTTCTAGAGCCACCAGTAGCTGTAGAATAGTGCTTCTGAATTGGCTTTCTGACATTGAAGTGTAATCCAGATTTTGTAACTCTGTGGGAGAGAGGGCTGTTTCTGATTCTTTCTTTTGAGGTGAGGTTTTCCTTCTAGTCATTTTGCTCAGTGCAGAGTGGCCAAAAACAAGTTGTATTGGAACACGGGGGAGTATCACTGGTCCGTCTAGCTGGTCTTCTGGGGGAGGGGCCTGTTGCGCTGATTTTCAGGTGTTAGCACTTGGGGGAGCTGCTCTGCCCCTGCCTGCTGCAGGGCTCAGCGGGGGTTGTTTACCCCGTGGGGCCCCAGGAGGAACAGCAGCAGTTGCTATGGCAACTCTGGAAGCCTGGATTCAGCCTCCGCAGGAACTACGGGCTCGGGGCTCTCGGTTCTCCGTCTGCAGGGCCTGGAGGCTCCGGGGCGGGGCCGCTGATCTGCTCAGCTCGCGGCAGGAGCGTCCTCGCTGTCTCGGGCCCTCCCGGCCTCTGCCTGTCCCGGGGGAGGCCGGATCCTGGGCTGTGTCCCGGCGCCCTGTGCTCCGGGGCCTGCGCTGTTGGATTCGCGCTCCCGCCCTGCAGCTCCCTCCCTGGAGCCGCTCCCGAGCCCCTCTGAGCTGCTCCGGTGGGTCCCGCCGTGCGCGCTGCAGCCCTTAGGGAGCTCGGAGCACTCTCCTGCGCTCCCAGGTGTCTGTTAGTGTCCCAGGGAGCCTGAGGGCATCCCCGCTTTCCTGGGTCCTGCTCCAACTCCCTGCGAGCCCCTTTCCGCCCGCCTGGGAAGGTTGGTGCAGCTCCTGCTTCTCCGGGACGGGGCTCTCCTGTCCTGGGGACACTCGCCCCGGCCCTAGCCCGGCTCCTCGCGGGGCCCCTCCCCCTCGGAGGCCTTTTGTTTCTTTATTTCTTTTTCCCCGTCTTCCTACCTTGATAGAAGCGCGGACTCTTCTCACTGTAGCCTTCCAGCTGGTCTCTCTTTACATCTCAGGCCGAATTCGTAAATTTTCAGGATGGTTTGAAGGTTATCTAGGTAATTTGGTGGGGACAGGTGATTTGGGGACCCTGCTCTTCCGCCATCTTGCCCCTCCCCTGGTAAGACTACTTCTTTTTTTTTTTTTTTTTAAATATCTTTTGTTTTTTTTTTTTTAAGATTTTTTAAATTTTTATTTATTTATGATAGTCAGAGAGAGAGAGAGAGAGAGAGAGAGGAGAGAGAGAGAGAGAGAGAGGCAGAGACACAGGCAGAGGGAGAAGCAGGCTCCATGCACCGGGAGCCCGACGTGGGATTCGATCCCGGGTCTCCAGGATCACGCCCTGGGCCAAAGGCAGGCGCCAAACCGCTGCACCACCCAGGGATCCCGGTAAGACTACTTCTTAAGTGGTGGTGTGTACTTCCATCAAGAAGCACACAATGTCTGGTTGTCTTTTCTGTGTGTGATGTGAGCAGCTGTTGATTGTTTCCTAGACCCACTACTTCATTAGGGATGCGAGATGGACATTTTCATTTCTACCATTCCTTCATTAGCTGGAATATTATAAAAAGAGGAAAAGAGAAACTCCTTTATGAAGTGTTTGGAATAGCTATATAGGAAAGACAGCAGAAATGCTTTATAGGTTTCAAAATAATAATTTGAATCTCTAACACTTTCCAAAGGTTTTGGAAATGTTCCCTATCTTGATCTGAATGACAGATGCACATGTGTGTAAAGAAGGGAGAAGTGCTAGATACCTAATATTTATGTATTTCATCTACATTATGCATAGTTTGAAAATTAACAAAGAAGTAACTAAAATGTTTATGTTAGTGACTAGGGGCACCTGGGTGGCTCAGTGTTTGAGTGCCTGCCTTCGGCTCAGGGAGTGATCCTGTGGTCCTGATCAAGTACTGCATTGGGCTCCCTACAGGGAGCCTGCTTCTCCCTTTGCCTATGTCTCTGCCTCTCTCTCTCTTTCTCATGAATGAATAAATAAATAAAATGTTAAAAAAGAAAAAAGTATTTAATAGGAATACCTCTAATATAAAAGATAAAAGTAAAAGTAAATCTTAATGGTCTGTCATAAAAAAATATTGTAGGGCAGGTCTAAGATAAAATAGCCAATGACTAATAGTAAAATGACTAGTGTGTGAGTTTTGATTAAAGCCTGCTTCCAAACACAACAGCAAGAAAAGGTCTTTCTGAGATAATTGGGGTATTTTGAATATGAGCAGAATATTAAAATGATATAGAATTACTAGTTATTTTCTCAGATATAATCTTTTCAGAGGTTTTTGTAAAGTATTTAGTCATGAAGTGTCATGACATCTGCAACTTTCAAATGATTCAGTAAAAAATGTGTACACATACATACATCTACTTGTGACTTTATGTGTATATAGAAAAATTAAGCAAATATGGCAAAATACTAACTGTTGAAACTAGGTGGGAGGTATGTATGTCTTTTTTTTTTTTTTTAAATCTTTTTTTTTTTTTTATTTTTATTTATGATAGTCACATAGGGAGAGAGAGGCAGAGGGAGAAGCAGGCTCCATGCACCGGGAGCCCGACGTGGGATTCGATCCCGGGTCTCCAGGATCGCGCCCTGGGCCAAAGGCAGGCGCCAAACCGCTGCGCCACCCAGGGATCCCTGTATGTCTTTTTTGAACTAATCATTTAACTCTTCTTTGTGTTAGAAAACTCATTAAAAATTTTGGAAAGAGGAACCTGGTTGGCTCATTCAGTATCTAGGGGTCCTGAGTTTGAGCCCCACATTGGGCATAGACATTTTTTTTAAGATTTTATTTACTTATTCATAAGAGACACAGAGAGGCAGAGACGCAGGCAGAGGGATAAGCAGGCTCCTCCCAGGGAGTCTGATTCGGGACCTGATCCTGGAACTCCAGGATCACATCCTGAGCCGAAGGCAGATGCTCAACCGCTGAGCCACCCTGGCGTCCCTGGGGCATAGACTTTAAAAAAATTTAGGGGTGCCTGGCTGGCTCAGTCAGTTAAGCATCTGGCTCTTGATCTCAGCTCAGACCTTGATATCACGCCCTACCATTGGACTCCATGTGGGTTGTGGAGCCTACTAAAAAAAAAGAAGGGAGAGAGAAGGAAAGAAAGATTTTTATTCTATTCTATTCTGTTTGTTTATTTATTTATTTTTAAGATTTCATTTATTTATTCATGAGAGACACAGAGAGAGGCGCAGAGTGTCTCAGCCCATGCCCTGGGCTAAAGGCAGACACTCAACTGCTGAGCCACCCAGGTGTCCCAAAACAAAGATTTTTAAATAAAAAAGTAAAAATATTGGAAAATAAGTGACTCAGATCAGCTTTTAAGGTTTGTTATTAACTAGAACCAAATCCACTTACCACATTGTAGCCAAGAAAAAGTTTCAGTTGAAGGTTCCCTTTTAAGAACTGTAAGCAAGGGACTTCTGGGTGGCTCAGTAGTTGAGTGTCTGCCTTTGACTCAGGGCGTGATCCTGGGGTCCTGGGATCCAGTCCCTCATCGGGCTCCCCACAGGAAGTCTGCTTCTTCCTTTGCCTGTGCCTCTTTCTCTATCTCTCATGAATAAATAAAATCTTAAAAAAAAAAAAAACAAAAGAACTGTAAGCAAAGGAGAAAAGTGAAAAAGCTGTAGCCTCCCTCTTTGGTCTTTCCTGTGAATGTTCTCACTAGTTGGGATGGGCTATTCACAGAAGCTCAGAGCAAACTCATTATAGTCTTTAAAAAGTTACCCTGTTTTTTACTAGCAAATAAGAAGAATATAAAAATTACCTGTAATTTTACCATCATCCAAATAATACATTCGTAAATATGGTAGTATATTTCCTTCCAGTTAATTTTCTTTTTTGTGCGTGAATATTTTCATATACCTGTATATGCATGTCTGTGTGCATGTGTATGTACACACATTATTCAGTGAAAATGGAAACATACTGTTTCGTACATCTTTTTACTTGTCAGTTTAACATGTTTTTCTACTGTAATTTAATTTTATATAACTTTATGTTCTCAGGATAGCCTATAAATTAAGCAGTCTACAATTATTGGATATTAAGATGTTTTGGCTTTTATATTTTGTTATTAGCCATGCTGTGGTAAGACTTCTGCAGTTAAATTTTTGTGCAATACAGGATGATTTTTTTATGATACAGTTCTAGAAGTAAGTTTTTGGGTCAGATACATGGATGCTAAGTGATGTATGTGTCCATGTGTGGCATGCTTCCTTTTCTCATCTGTCCCTCTATCTCTTTTCTCAGATCTCTGCCTCTTTCCCAGAAGAGCCAGAAATGACTAAGTCCCTGGTGAGTTCTTATTTCTTCATATATTTATTTGTTGCTTTATTTTCTAGTGGATTTTAGGAACCATTTAATAATCTGCATAGTAAGACACAGAAGCATAAATAAATAAAAACTAAGATCAGGGAAGAAAAATGAAGTGACTATTAACTCCAGGTCAAGCTTGGAGTATAGAAACATGTGACTTGTGTGGTTTTATGCAGCTGTGAACTTTGAACTGTAAGATTATCTCTGATCTTCCTGAAAGACCTAGCAATAATGGAAATGAGATGCTGGTTCATATTGTTGATAAGTAATTTATTTCATCTATAGTAAAGATATCCTGGTTCTTGATATTTGAGAAAAATTTTGACAGCTCTTCAGGTGGATGGAGACAGAACTGTGTCTTCAGCAACAGCTCTGTTTGTAGAAGTGCACTGACAGGTTTTCTGTTCTTAGAAAGCAGTGCTTCTCACACTTCATATGACTTCAGATTCTTATTTAATAGGATTGGCATTCTCACAGGATGTCATTGTTTCTTGTCCAAGGACTACCTTATAAAGCAGAGTTTTGAGGCTTTATGATGAATGCGTGTTGAATTTTGTTAGGTGGTTTTTCTGCATCAATTGATATGGTCATGGGATTTTGTTTCTTTCGTTCTTTAGCCTACTGCTGTGATGGATTACATTGATTGATTACATTTTCACATCTTGAGCCAGCCTTGCAACCTTTGAATAAATCCTATTTGCTCATGGCATATACTTCTTTCTGTGTATTTGTGCTAATACTTTGTTAAGTATTTTTATTTCATATTTATGAGGGATACTGATCTAATTTTATTACTACTGTGTATGGATGAAAGTTCCAACTCCCCACCTGGCTTTTTCCCCACACCAACCTCTGGAGTGTGAAAGGAGCATCTCTTTCTTTAGCTAGGCAAGAGTGGGAATCTCGGCTACTCACTGGTTCTTTGCTGATGGGTGTGGGATTAGGCCCAAAGTTTCTTTTTTTAATTTGTTGTGTCTGGCTGGAGTATGTTCTGCATAAAAGTTTTCTGCATTTCTAGGTTGCCCCTTTGCTGGTCTTTTAGCCAGAGAGAGTATATTTTTCTTTGAGCTGTCTGTGTTCTCTTGTTGGTGGCTGGTTGTAGGCTTCCCTAGCATCTGTAAGGCTGTATGAAGCAGTTTCAGGAACTCATGCTGTGTAGTTCCTTGGTTCCTGAGGTCCTTAGCCAGTTCACCGTGTTTTCTTCAGCTTACAGAGTCTTCTCATATTTGGTTTATGGATGATGTCTGTGGTTTTTAGATGTACTTAGTGGGTTGAGAAGGGACAAGTACATCTATTCCCATCTTTCCAGGAATGGAAGTCAGTTCACTGATTCTTTTTTTTTTAAAGAAGTACTTATTTTATATTAAGCATACTCTTATACATTTTTTTCAATTATATTTACCTCTTTGTTCCTTGTACTTTAACTTTTAAAAGTAGGTATTTCATTTTGAATATCATGAAATTAGACTTGTATTTGCTTAGCTCTCAAATTCTAGCTCTGTGAACTCAATTGAACTGTGTATTTTAGTACTGACTTTCATATGTTTATATTGGTGCTTCTTGGCTTTCAGGTTTAGGCAGTATCTACTGACTGGAAAATAAGAATTTAACTACCTTTGAGACACCTAGTCCCTCAACATTCATATGCACATTTCTAATGTCCCCTTATGATAGGAATGCCATAGTTTTAGGTAAGTCAATAGGCTGTATTTATTATGAAGAGTATTTTAATTATATTCACAGGTGAGCCATTTACTTTACTTTTTGTGCACTACTTTTTGTTTTGCCTGTAATCAGTAATTGTTTGGTTTGATCGTTTGTTTCATTTTCTACATATGTGTACCTTGTGATTATAAAATGATTAATTCCATAAATCTTCCCAGGTATAGAAAAATCTTTTCAATATGTTAAAATATATTAGATAACAGTAATGGTAATCACAAGCCTTACTATACTGCTTGCTGTTTACCAGGCACTATAAGCACTCTCTCTATTAATTAATTGTAATTAGTTGTAATTAATTTAATTACAACTCCTATGAGGTATCTATAATCATTATCCTCACTTTACAGAGGAGGAAACATCCACAGAAAGGGTAAGTAACTTGCCCAAGATTGCACCACTAGTAAGTGTTGAAGTCAGGTGGAAGCCAAGGAATTTGGCTTTAGAATATAGGCTCTTCATTTCATCTCTAAAGAAACTTCACTCATAGTCTTTGACCTGCTCAAAGTTTGATACTCAGCTACTGACTTGGGCCTTCCCTTTGGCATAGTCCTAGGAATTCCTCTCATGTCGCTTAAGTGTTGGATCTCTTGTTTTAGGCTCCTTCTTGATTTATTCTTTCATTTTTAGAGCCTGTCGTACAGTAGCTCTCTATAAAGTGTGTGGAGGAAGTCAATTTTTTGAGACCTCGCCTATCTGGAAATGTCTTTATTTTACACTCAGTAACTTTATAGTTGGGTTGGGTGTAAATTCTAGATTGTAAATCACTCTTACTCACGATTTTGAAGCCATTGTTTTTACTTTTACCATCTCATTTTCTCTTACTAGATGTGGTAATAAGAATAATTGCCCCCAAAGATGTCCACTGGAAAGTGTGAATATGTTGCCTCACATGGCAGAAGGACTCTGCATATGTGGCTAAATTAAGGAATTTTTTTTTTTTCATAAGAGACAGAGAAGTAGAGACATAGGCAGAGGGAGAAGTGGGTTCCTCGCTGGAAGCCCAATGTGGGACTCAATCCCAGGACCCAGGATCACGCCCTGAGCCGAAGGCAGATGCTCAACCGCTGAGCCACCCAGGCATCCCTAAATTAAGGATTTTTAATTAGGGAGATTACACTGGGTTTTCTGGGTGGGCCCTGTGTAATCACATGGGTCCTTATAAGTGAGAGAGGGAGGCAGGAGGCGGTGAGAGATTGGAAGATGACACTTGGCTGGCTTTGAAGATAGAGGACGAAGGTCAAGGAAACGAATTCTTCCTTTGAGTGTCCGGGAGGAATGAGCACTGCAAACATCTTGATTTTATTTTATTTTATTTTATTTTATTTTATTTTATTTTATTTTATTTTATTTTATTTTATTTTATTTTATTTTATTTTATTTTGTTATTTTATTTATTTTATTATTTTATTTTATTTTATTTTATTATTTTATTTTTTTATGATAGTCACACAGAGAGAGAGAGAGAGAGAGAGGCAGAGACATAGGCAGAGGGAGAAGCAGGCTCCATGCACCGGGAGCCCGACGTGGGATTCGATCCCGGGTCTCCAGGATTGTGCCCTGGGCCAAAGGCAGGCGCCAAACCGCTGCGCCACCCAGGGATCCCAACATCTTGATTTTAGTCCAGTAAGATCCATATTGAACTTCTGGCCTTCAAAACCATGAGATAATAAATTTGTGTTGTTTTAAATTTGTGGTATATTGCTGCAGCAGTAGGAAACCATTACAGATTTTGGTCCCTGGTAGTGGGTTGCTACTGTAATAAACACCTAAAAATGTGGAAGTAGATTAGGAAGTAGATTTGGAATTCAGTAGTGGGCAGAAACTGTAAGAATTTTGAAGAACAGGATAGCAAGAACCTAGGCTTCCTTAAATGGACTGGTAGTAGAAATATGTTAACCACTCCGCTAGAGGACTCAGAAAGAGGTGAGGAGCACAGTAGGAGAAACCTGTGTTGTTTTAGAGAATACCTAAAGTGTTATAAACAAATTCTTGATAGAAGTGAGTATTCCAGGTGCTGCTGCTGATGGCTGCAAGGAACTGAGGAGCATGTCACTGGAAACATGTCACAACTCTGTTGTGCAGTGGCAGAAAGCCTAGATGTGTTTGTCCTGGAGTTATGTGGAAAACATTTATAGTAGTGAACGTGGATTTTTCTCTGAGGAGATTTCCAAGCAAAAGGTTAAAGATGTAGCCAAGTTTCTTCTTCCTGATTATAGTGATAGGTGACTGTTAAGATGGATTGAGAAGACAGCTGTTAAACAAAAAAGGAACCAGACTTGATGACTTGGGCAATTTTCAGGCTATCAAGATTCCAAAAGATGCCAAAATTAGTTTCACTGTCAAGAAAGCTATGGAGAGGAAACCAAGGATGTGGATAAATGTATTTTTCTAGGTTTTGAGTAAATAGCAGGAAAAATAGCACGTACTCCTTTTATTTATTTATTTCTAAGAACGAGAAGTCTCAATATTTTATTTATTTTATTTTATTTTATTTTATTACTTTATCTTATTTTATTTTATTTTATTATTTTTTAAACATTTTATTTATTTATTCATGAGAGACACACAGAGAGAGAGACAGAGACCAGACAGAGGGAGAAGCAGGCTCCATGCAGGTAGCCCAATGCAGGACTCGATCCTGGACTCCAGGATGATGCCCTGGGCCAAAGGCAGGTGCTCAACCGTGGAGCCACCCAAGCATGTGCTATTTTATTTTTTTATTGACACATAATATTACATTGGTTTCAGCTGTACAGCACAGTGATTTGACAAGGCTATACATTGTGGTATGCTTACCACAAATGTAGCTACCATCTGTCACCATATAACGCTGTCATGATACTATTGGCTCTATTCCCTATGCTGTACCTTTTATCCTCATGACTTACTCATTCCATAACTGGAAGTCTGTACCTCCCACCCCCCTTCACCCATTCTACCCCTACCCTCTGTCAACCATTAGTTTCTTCTCTATTTATGGGTTTATTTCTGCTTTGTTTTGTTTTTTAGATTCCAAATGGTATTTGTTTTTCTCTGACTTGTTTCACTTAGTATAATACCCTCTAGGTCCATCCATGTTGTCACAAATGGCAAGATCTTATTCTTTTTGGTGTCTGAGTGATATTCCATTACATATTATATTATATATATATATATATATATATATATATGTACATATATATAAAATTTTTAAAAAGTTTTTTAAAGACTTTTTTCATTTATTTATTTTTTAAAGATTTTATTTATTTATTCAT